GATTAATAATGACGTCATCATATGAAACAATATCAAAATATGATGATTATAGTTTGATATTTATGATGCTTTCAGTTGGTATTTCTATAAACTTTTTTTGATTTGGATATAAAAAAGATTGCGAATGATATTTCGGAATACCAACAGTTTTGGGAAATACCATTGTTTTATTTAAACGTTGAGCTATAACGATTTGACATTTGAAATTCGTTCGTAGATGTCTTAATCCAGGATAAGGATAAGTATCATTACTAAATACAATAAAATTCGTTTGTAGATGTTGTGATTCAGGATAAGAATAAGAATCATTACTAGATATAGTACAATTCATTAAGTTTAATGTGTTTCTTTTCGAAGTTTCTTGTTTTTGACGATTAACTGTAGAAATTTTCTTTTGAAATGGCATATAATAATCGAACAGCGTTAAGTATAATAAAATAGATACCAATACTAAGAAAAATATATGAGTACCAGTTAAATTCATTGTATTATATAAGAATATCTCCGCTAAAGTATATCTATATATAAGAAAACAAAAATTGAAAGAAGCTCTAGAGTGAGTGAGTGAGGGTGTGTATGAGTATATTTTTTTTAGCCTGATAACCACAGCTACGTCCTTATTTTCATCCACTCAAAAATATCAAACAACTTTATTATTTGATATGTCTTTATTTTTTGACATTCAGTTGTATTGTATCTTCATCTGGTTCGTATTTTTTTGTGAGTACATAGTAAGCGAAAAAAAAGAAAAAGAATAGTTTGCAGTGATAAAAGATCCAATTATAGTATATGTACGTATATGCTTGTACTGATAAAGTTTAATCTCTGGTCTATATATTTCATTGATCCAACTTTCTTAGTCTAACTAATTTAAGGATAGAGACAGATAGATACTCACGACGGTTGTATTATTTTGTTTTTTTTCTTTTGTACATACTTCTATAGTATATACAATAAGTTACTCGTTACGCTTGAGAGAAGAAGAGAACAAGATGATACAAAAATGCACATATAACGATCTAGGTTACAACAGAAGAAGATAAGAAAAATGTAACAATACAAAACGAAAGCCATACTTCTTTAGTGAGAATTGTTATATCGTACAAGGAAGATATCATACAAAGATAATATGCTGTAAAGACATTAGATCTATATCAGCACACTTAGATCCTGTTTATATATGCTCTAAATATTTCGGTCGTCTATTCTTTATATATATTATGTTATACTTCTTGCGTTCGGACCTTGTCTATGAACACTGTCTATGTCATTGTATATAGCGAAGAACAATCGATGCATATAAAAGGACAGCGAAAGAACGTAAAGAGGTAGTTAGAAAGTAGTATTCATATATTATGTATTTGGTGTATTGTACCATGTGCGCAGTTGGCGCTTCATTTAAATAAAGATTTATACCAACACTTTATCTTCCATTTTTATATATTTTAATTACGTATTATATAGAGATGTACCTACTATCTCTAGTTGTCACCCACATCCATAATTTTGTAACAATCGGTTGATAATTGAATATTATATTGATTGAGAATTGATCAGTTGAGTATGTTTTTATCGCGTGTGAATATTGTTGTAATTCTATGCGAGTTTTGACAATAGTCAAAATTCGACAATTTTGTTAAAATGCGGACAAAATTTTGAAAATTTTATTGAAAAGTTGACACTGACAAAATTGCGTTTATGGAAATGGATAGAGCCGTTCTTGTAAAGTAGTAGGAATGTGTATTACAATGAAATCAGATATAGTTAAAGTATAAATAGTAAGATATATATTAGCGGGTGTGGGTGTTGTATTCGTACCACACCCACACCCAAAATGATATAAATCGTGCAATATCATTTATCTAAGAAATACACATGACCCCGTCAACTGCAAATATTCTTACACTTAGTGATGAAATATTACTTAATATTTTCAACAAACTCGACAATATGGATGTATTATATTCAATTATAGGAGTCAATCGAATACTCGATCGAGTCGCTCGAGATACGAGTTTTACACAATCTCTTAACTTTTTAAAAATATTAGATAATACTAATAATCTGAAAATTAATTTTATTCTTGATCGATTTTGTTTGGATATCATACCTCGTATTAAACACTCTATTAAATGTCTGACTATTGATTTGTTCTCAATTGATCGTGTTCTTCGTATTGGAAATTATCCTCAACTTCGTAAACTTACTCTTAACAATGTTCAACGATAAATCAACAATTATTCATACTTGGCAAAATCAAATTTCACATCTTGTTATTATGATTAATGATGGACAAATATTTGATCAAAAGAAAGAATTATCTCGAAGGGTTTTTACTGATGTTTTCCTAACATTTACAAATCTAGCATATCTTCAATTAGGTTTTCAAGATTATGATTCATATTTATCAATTTCAGCTGTACATTTGCCATTATCAGCATGCTATTCATCTCATATTGTTTGTTTAAATATAAAAATTTTTGATTTTGATCTTTGTTATTATTTACTTGATGGACGTCTTAGTCAATTGAATACATTTATTGTTCATGTTTACCGGATTCGACAAACATTAATGATCAACAAAAATAAGGTAAAAAAATTTTATAAAAATAATCATTTTCTTTAAATATGAATAAAATCGAACAATCATTATTGGTTATGAGACAAAGTAGCCAACTGAATAGTGAAAAACTATGTTAAAAGCGACAGTATGGAGGATTTATTTAACAATAAAGAAATAAAACTGTTCAGTATCGTACAGTTTGATCGAAAAATTTATACAAATGAATAATTACTTTAAAAAAAACTAAATATTTGAAGAGATATTATCACCGATGATGATAATAGATATAAACACTACTGCAGTGAACAGAACTGTTCGTGAGGGTGAATGAGTGCATATGTTTTGGTAAGTACACGTAAAGAACTTTTCGGTCAAGCAAGACCAAATTTTACTGTTCAACTGTTGAAGAGTAAATATTTCATCACGTGATCTACTACCGGAAAACTCAGGAACTATATATAATAAATCAATGAGATGATTCTGTCTGGAATATTTACATCTTTAATATTTGTGGAAAAGTGTTGCCGATGTTTTTTTTAAGTCTTTCGATACAATAAACAAAAAATGAAGCTTTTAAATATACTTTCTATCTTCTACTCTTCGAGAGAGAGTTCGAATACAATCTACTAATTTGAAAGATTCTCGTTTGTTCATAAAATAATCCACTAAATATCATATGTTAATATAATACTTGTCTTTTTTTCTCTTTAGAAAATTGTTTCAAATCTCAAATTTTTTTCATTAATTTCATTAAATCGAACAACTGTATATGATAATCTAATTGTACCGTTTATTAGCCAAATGTTTTATTTGGAAAAACTCATATTGTCACTTATTGTGTATAATCGAAGATCATTCGTCAATGGTAATTCATTAGTTTATGATATACTTAGTCCAATGTTATATCTGCATACATTTATCTTCAATATCATTACTGATGGTGTTACAATACTTGAAGAACTTATTCAGCCACCTAATGTTCTAAGTCATGCTCTCGTTGAAAGAGGATATGATTTAAACTGTTATACTGACTACAATCCATTAAGTAGAGGTCAATATCATATTTATTCCCTTCCATTTGTTATGGATTGCATGCATATACATTCAAATAAATTTCCTGTTGGTTTGTTTCGTACTGTTCGTTGCCTATACATATACGATTTTGTTCATCCATTTGAACACGATTTTTTTCTTTGAATCTCGCAATGTTTTCCATTATTAAAAGAATTAGTGGTATTTAATTCAAATTCACAAAAGAAGATAGCGGAAGGGTACGGAGATGAAAAGACGTTGATGGTAATCAAGTTTCCTCATCTAAGCAGACTTGTTCTTTGTGGATCACACGTCGACTATACAAAACAATTTCTTTTCGATTGTAATACATGTTTACCTTCTCTTCGTACATTACATATCATTTACGAATATTTAGTTATGATAACAGAGAATTTTACAAATACTGCTGCTTTTACTAACTGCGCAAACTTAAAACATCTTATTTTTGATTTAAGACCAATGATATACCCAGAAAATTTTTTTTCGTTATTTTCCTTTATTCTGAACGACATTTCTTGACTATTTGTTTAATGCAGAAATAATAAAATAATGAAAATCTATAGTTCGTATCGTAAATATAAACTCCATTGCTATAATACTTATATTTGAGATTAAGAATGAGACAAATCAGTATATCGATATTTTATTGCTCAATTATGATATTTTGTAACAGTCATGCTAATATTTTTCTATTAAGTTATTTAAATCGTAATCAAGCCCGGAGATCTTGAGATCATTTATACAAGGATTTTATATTAGGTTTTTTTGAACAATGATCCCGTCTGGTAAAGGTATAGTTGGCTATTTATAGCTTTGAAAATTTGGAACAGAGAAGCATAAAGAAATTAAATTTCAGATGTAAAGGATTTTGTTTTCATTCATTCGTTTTATATTCATCTATCCATGAATTATAATGAATATCTTACATATAAGTTACATATATATAAAATATTTCATCAGTTATTAAATTCGAAAACAAATAATAAAACAGCATATTCTTGATGAATTCTTTATTTCTCGGTAAAAACTAATTAAATATTTCTTAAGAAAAAGATGTATGATATTTATCACAAATATTGATAGTTTTCTGTTTGTAATTAACGTGTTAACATTGATTGTCTGTTATCATCTTAACGATAGTACTATTCTTTGAATAGACTATGCATAAATACGTTTAAAAAGAACATTTTATTCGATCATATCGTCAGTCAATTTTACTAGTCATATATCTCTATTCGTACTATCCGATCATGTGACACGCACATTCTTCTGTCTAAGAAAAACTTTTCTCATTCTTTTCTTTCTCTATGTAGCTATCTATCGTGCATTCTTCTCGTAATACAAATATCATTTCAATTTGCTGTATTTATTCTTTATATTCACTATTCTATTTTAAATATTTGTCGATTGTGTGTTAACTTAGTTTAACATGGCAAATAATTGGTCAGTCGAATCAACAATTATTCTTAATATAAGTACATACCCATTATTTTATATTATACAAACGGTATTTTATATACGTTTATATTATAAAATAAAACAATATTTTTGTTTAGTATCTTCATTACCTAGATAAAAAAACAAAGGACTAATGGTCTAACAAGAGATGAAGATGGTCGTCTTGACTATGGGAGCGACGTATTAAGTTTTCTTCTGCCCAAAATGAGTAAATATATAGAAATTCATTTTTTAATCAATAATGAATTTTGTATAGTTGATGCAGTGCTCGATCTGATATATGAACGGCAACGACGTATTAATAATACATCATGATAACTATCATTGAATAAAGTCAACAATCTATACATGTTGGGGCAGCAGTTTCAAGAAAAGTTGATATTTTCGTTGGAGCTCCACAGGGCTCAGTCCTCGCGGCTACATTGTTTCGACTCCATGTTCATTTCCTTCCTTCGTTCTTTCTGAATCTAGTCTGTCATCTTTTTGCAGATGATCTTGCAATTTGAATTACTGGCGCACTTAAAAATCAAGCAAAAGTTGCAATGAAAATCTTAGAACAATATGCTGAGGACAACTTACTTCCAGTGAACATCGACAAAACAAAAGCAATGCTGGTGCATAGTGTAGTTGCTCTTTTGTATCCTAAAATAGGATATAAAGGAAATAAAATAGATTTTGTAAAGCGTTTCAAATGTTTAGGAGTCGAAATATCAACAAAACTTGAATGGGGCATTTACATAGAAAACCGTCTCCGAAAAGTCAGGAAAATCTTGAGGGTGTGGTTTTGAGTATTAAAACCACACCTACACCCACCATGAAGATGGATTTTATCTGTTGATATAAATTCATGAGAAAGGTCTAGAGATCCTCATAAATAAAGAATAATGTCTGAAACACGTTAAATACTAAGGATAACGATCGGAGCTATACAAAAGCGTTAGAAATCAACTAAAATCGAAACGACTATTAATCATACCATTGATAATTTTTAAACGATTTACAATGATTTCTAATAAACTCTTATGACTGTGGTGTTTTTGAATCTTGTCTACTCGTCTCTTCAAAATATTACGATGATTTCGAATGTTTTCTAGCATTGCAATCAATTTGTTCTACTTGTTTGAGATGAAAAAAAATAAACGTTAAGAAACAGCTAAATGTTGCACAGCAAATTAACTTTACATTTACTTTATTTTATTTAGAAAAACAAAAAAATAAAGAAATACAGGAATTTTTAAGATGTGAATGAATGTCTATGATAATCATATTGAGTGTTTAGCCGCATCCATGTTTAGTCCAAAAAAAAAGAATCAGATTTTGTACACAAGAAATGTAACTCATAGAATATATCGAACAAAACTTTCATCCTAATACAAGATAGCTTCCAAAGATGAAAGAAATAAAGCAAATTCATCTTTTAGTTTCTCTGATTGTAGGAAAAGTTGACTGGAAAAAAGACTTCGCCGACTTTGCATATATATAAAGAAAAAAGAGAAAAAATATTATAATTGCACACTACATTATCTATATTTGTATTTTGATATGTAGTGGATTGTATACGGATGAAATATGATATTGTTGTTTTTAACCTAGAAGATACAAATTCTTTGTAAAAAAATATTCCGAAATAACTACTTTTGTTTCTCATGTTGATAAATGACAAAAAGAATCCATAAGCATTGAGTGTTAGATTCAATCCACATTCAATCAACCCGTACTCTTTCTATCTCGAGCACATGCTTATATGGGTGAAGAAGAGGTCACATACGAAACAACAAATAAAAGATCACTGCTCGGTCAAGCGGTCAGACAAATGAACCATAACGGTCAATAACCGGCAAAGTATCGAACTTGTAACTTAGGCAGTCGATATAACTTCAATATACGCTCGTGAAAGTAGAGAAAAAATTTTCATTTTATTTTATTTGTAGAGATTTTCCCACTAACTGCTTTTATTACTAAATATGAAAATTCATCGATCGAAATCAAAAAAAGATCTATCAGTATCAGTAAAAATTTCACTTCTTACCTCCTCTTTATAAACTTTTGCTGATTCTTGTTTTTATAGCCGATTGATTGTAAATTATTTATTGATAAATTAAAAAATTGCGATCGAACAGATCTTCATGAGTTATTAAAATCAATAACTATTTGGCATCTTGGAAAGGTAAGTTAGATGCTAATAATTTTATTTCTTCCACTTCCTATACTAATAGTTTATCAAAGATGAATATATTTGAAATAATAGAAATAGCTTTTCTTCTTGTTTTCTTTTCAGTGTAGACTGTATGATTGGATTGATGCATTGGATTTATTCGATGCAATTCTAGAAGAAGCTTGTATAAAATCTGGGACATGGATGCTCAATTGTGACAAATCAGAAAATGAAGAGGTTTGTTTTGTTTTATGAGAAGAGTGTGCGTGAAGATGAGTGTAAGTGTGTCTTCTTTCTTCGAAGCCATCCACACTCAATATGATTCCTGTATCTATAGAGTCATTTCTCTCCTAATTTATGTATACAATACAAACAATATCATTTCAATAATTCCATTTTTGTCTTTAAATTTTAGTTAAAAATCTTGGTACTTGATATTCTTCGTTTTACTGTATTATTAATTGAACATTCATATTCTCGTGATTTGTATAATTCCATTGAATATTTAACTATGTTATTACAATCATCTGATGTAAATATTGTACTTGGTGTTCTTTCACTTCTATATGTATTCAGCAAACGTTCAAACTTTATCACAGGACTTCAACTTGATAAAAAACAAGCATTAATTGAGCGAATTACATTCTTAGCGGAAGTAAAATCATTATTTTTGTCTTGTTGAGAAAATTTTATTTTATTTTTTTTAGACTTGGGGTGGACGTGAGTATGGTTTCAATTTAGCTCGTTGTTGTACTGTTCGAAACCCTTCAGTAAAAAAAGATTTATTTCACATAGTTTTTCATTGATTTTTATTTTTTTCTCTCATAGGAATTTCCCGATCATGCAACAAATCTACATTTTGCATATACAGTTCCTTCTGAATCATCATCAGCAATAAATGATCCAACAATTGTATTTTTTGTTTCCTTCTTCTAATTAAAAAAAAATGAAAATGATTTTTATTTATTTTAAGCAAACTCCTAAACAAATAGAAATTCCAAATGTTCATTTAGCTGGACCAAATGCTGCTGCTGTTATGGAAATAGTTCTTGCTCAACATACATTACCTGAAGATAAACAAATGAAATTATTCACTCATCTTCGTTTAGCTTATGCATTTCCATCATTTGATCAACGATTACTATGTATACAAGCACGTTTACAAGCTTTATCTATTCTAGGTACTATTTATATATGTAAAGCATGATCACGTTATTTGTGACAGTTTCGAAGACTTTGCTATTATTTATTTATATAGAACTTTAAAAGTCTCTTGTTTCGATACAGTTGGATGAAGCACCGATTACTCTATGGGACTATATAGTTTTTATTTTATTCCATTTGGGCCTGGTCTAAAATATGATAAATTCCTAGAAGCATCCAAAACAGTTTTTTGAGCAGAAACTTTTTATTTCTCTATCGAACTGTATATTTTTAGATGGGTTAATATCATATTACTACTATAAACTTGATAAGTTTCTTCATATGTGATTTTCGTCTGTTTTTCGAGAAGTTTTGATTCTGTAAACATTTAATGTTTCTGTTTTTACCATGCAGCTGAGTAGAGCTTCGATTTCTTCGTTAATTTACGTAAGTTCGATTAGATTTATGTCGATTCCTATCTTGATAGTATGATACGAACACAACACCCACACATCCTCGATCCGCATATATTAAAACAAAAAATCACCGACTTTTTGTATAAATATAACAAATTAGTTTATTTATCTTTTGTTTTTAGTTTATTCTGGAGCAATACAAGACACAAATAATATTTTATATGATGGTTTAATTGAAGAACTTGTTGATGTATTCTATGTTCAAGATTCAACATTAACAGTACGCTTAGAAATCTAATTAGTTATGTTTCAGAAAGTACTTGATGAACTTTGTGTTAGAAAAAATTTCAATCTAAGCTTAAATAGCTTGCTTCTATTCATGCTATTTGAATGGTAGAATGAACATGATAATATTAAAAAGATTAATAAAATTCCATGAAATGAACTACACTGGCTTAGATTTCAATAATAAAAATGAGACATTAACTGTTATATAGGAAATTCTTTGTAAAAACCATATGAATTATTTGTTTTAGGATGTAAAAGCATCCGTTTTGACAACTTTAACATCAGTAATTCATTTTGAACAAGCAACAAAGTATATGAATTTATAAAAAAAAATTAATTAATTAAAATTTTTTCTAGATATCCACCACGTTTACAAGAAATAATTAAAGCAACACAAGTAAATTCTTATCATGGATTTTTACCAACACTTGTACGACAATGTATTGATAAATTAACTGGTAGATATATAAGAAATAAGCATGAAATTTTTCTATTTTTGTTTTTGCTTTAGATGATAGTAATGAAAGATTTTCTCAATCATTATCAACAGCATTATTTTCATTTCTTTATCATTTGGCATCACATGAAAAAGGTGGTAATGCATTAGTTAAGTGTAGTATAATGCAATCATTAATTAAAGTTGTTAATCATTATAATGAATCTCAAGATTCAATCATGGTAAAAAATTTTATTAAACTGATCGTTTTGTAAATAATATTTTTTTCTTCAAAATTTTTAAGTTTGTTACAAGAGCTGTACGTGTTATTGATTTAATAACAACATTAGATATGGCATCGTCTCAAACAAATAATGGTTTACAAGCATTTATAAATCGTTTAGAGGTATGTTTATTTATTTGAATTGTTCTAGTCATAGAAAAATATCAGGTCACATGTACAAGCTCCGATCGAAGCATTTCTATGATAATACAGTGATTAGAAGTGTCAATGTGTGAGCAATAATATTCACTTGAAAAG